CATTGTTTCTAGGTTAATCGTAAGTGTTGTCAATCCCGTAGGAGCCGTGAGTATCGAATCGGACTTCTCAATAGTTTTTTTTTGGGTTATGAGATTTCTAGGGTTTTAGATTAATCTATGGTTCCATTTCGCTATTTACGCTTAGATTTGTTGGATTTTCTACATTATTTTGTGTTTTCCAGTTTTCTATATATTTCAACTAACTTGTGGACTCTGGGGCTTAATTCAATCAGTTCAATTTCTCCTCCAGGTTATGGATTTGCAATTGGAATTAATTGGTTAAATTGTTCTTGTAGCCTAGGTTTTAATTTGTGTCTCCGGTTTGCTAGATTGTTCTACATTTTCCATGGTGGAAATCACCATTTGCAACATATCTTTGGTCATATGTGTAGAAGATGATTGTAGTAAACCATTCACATGTATATATATCCATTAATATAAAGCGTACTAAACTAACATTTTTGATGCGTTTATCTGAATCCCACCTATGTTAACACCTCCATATCTACCTTTTTTTGTGTGTGTTTAAGCCAGATAAGTAGCCATCCTTGAAGCAGAACATTGGCAGATCGCTCGAATCTTGGATAATTTCTTCGGAGATTAGAAACTTGTTCATTGGAACTATTATATGATAAAAATACACGGCAGGCATGGAGTGCAACAAAGACGAGGCTGCAAGGGCAAAAGAAATTGCAGAGAAGAAATTCAGAATGAAAGATATTGCTGGGGCAAAGAAATTTGCCTTGAAAGCTCAAAGTCTGTATCCAGAGATAGAAGGTGTTTCTCAGATGTTAGCGACTTTGGATGTGTATATTGCTGCAGAAAACAGAGTAAACGCGGACGTAGATTGGTATGGAATTCTGAATGCAAGTCCGCGCGATGATCATGAAACGCTGAAGAGAAAGTACAGGAAGCTTGCTCTAATGCTTCACCCCGATAAAAACAGCTCTGTAGGAGCTGAAGGAGCATTTAAGCATGTTTCTGAAGCTTGGAAATTCTTGTCAGATAAGGAAAAGAGAGCAGCTTATGATCGTAGGAAGAGTTTGCAAACAGTTTATCAGAAGGCTTCAGTTTCATCTTCTAATAATGGTTTCTGTAATTTCGCCAAGACTAGTTTTACTTCAAATACAAGGACGACTACCCAGAAAAGCAATCCGACAACAGAGAAGAACAATCCGCAAAAGCCAATTGGCAATACGCAAAAAACAGGATGGACTGATCATCATAAAACAACACCAAGCTCATTTACTACATCTGGGTCATCGGAGCAATCAAAGTTTAGTACATTCTGGACAGTCTGCAGGAGATGCATGATGCAGTATGAGTATCTTAGAGTTTACGTTAACTGTAACCTTCTGTGTCCCAATTGTCGACAGTCGTTTTCAGCAGTTGAAGTCCGTAAACCGGGTACATCAAGCTGTTGGAGTAGTGTCAGCAGTCTAAAACGAAACCTGGATTCAAAGTCAGCTGCAAACCACAATACTACTTCAGGTGTATTTAATAACTCCAAGTGGACATTCTCAAGAACTAGCAGTGCAGCTCATGCTGCAAGTGTGGTTCAACAGGCTTATGAGAAGGTAAAGAAAGAACGCGAGGATGCAAAAGCAACTGTAAGAAGAGAAAAGAAGAATGCAAAAAGGAAGAGCACTACTGATTTTTATGCTTCTGGTATTTCACTTAGCAAGAGGAGAGTTATAGGAGAAAGCGAGATTGCTTGCTCGGGTGGAAGAAAGGTCACGTACTATGTGACTGGGGAAACCGGAAAGAACATGGGAAAGTTAAATGGAACCAAAGAGAGAGTGGATAAGTTGTCTCCTGAAATTCATAAAACGATTAGTAAGGAGAAGAGGACGTAACCAAAGAGATAAAGCCGCGTTAGCATACTGTATCATTAGAGTTTTGAGTAATGCAGGCATAATTTGTGATTGATGTTTTCTATTGCAGCTCGAGGCTATAACCAATCACTAGGGTATATTTTGTCAGTTGGGTCATTTGGTTCTAACATTCTAGAGACAGATGGGTCTTTTTGGGCAGAGGACACAAACTTCTTTCCAAAATTTTTATAAACAGACCTACTGTTGTGTCAAGTGGTGTTGTAGCAATGATGATGACCTTGTTTTGCCACTCTAGTAAAAATGCTTTGTAAGATTTCAGTGCTTAAAAAAAAGTTGCTTCA